TTATAGGGTTTATAGGGTTTATAGGGTTTATAGGGTTTATAGGGTTTATAGGGTTTATAGGGTTTATAGGGTTTATAGGGTTTATAGGGTTTATAGGGTTTATAGGGTTTATAGGGTTTATAGGGTTTATAGGGTTTATAGTGTTTATAGGGTTTATAGGGTTTATAGGGTTTATAGGGTTTATAGGGTTTATAGGGTTTATAGGGTTTATAGGGTTTATAGGGTTTATAGGGTTTATAGGGTTTATAGGGTTTATAGGGTTTATAGGGTTTATAGGGTTTATAGGGTTTAGGGTTTAGGGTTGGGATGTCCCCCCTTATACTACGTAGCAGTCTTTAGGGATGCTAGTACCCCTACTATAATCCCTTAAGGACTGTTTTAGTATAAGGGTGAACATCCCAACGTACAGGGTTTGGGGCAGACAGCAGTTCTTCGTGCGGGTTTCGACTGATCCCAATGTCAAACTCAAAGGGCCCCCGCGTTTTGTCCCTGTACCGGAACCCACGCCTTCTAGTGCGGCGGGTTTACGGTGCAGGGTTGAGGGTTTAGGGGCTCTAGCCTGCAGCTAGCGCTTGAATGTTCTTTTTGTTTTTTCTCCCGAGGCGCTCCTGAATAATCTGTAGTTTCTTCCAGGAGCTCTTAGCCCAACTCTGATGGGTGTGCGCACTCTGTTCACATTAGCAAAGCAACCTCCGAACGCCCCAGAACATCAGCAAATCCTCTGCCCGCATTCTTTCGAGCTCAGGGTAGCTGGACCCTAAACCCCAAATCCTAAACCCTGAACCCTAACTAAACCCTAAACCCTAAACCCTAAACCCTAAACCCCTAAACCCCTAAACCCCTAACCCAGAGAAGGTTTCAGCAGGGCACTCCACCCGCTGGAAGGTGGGCATCTTGCGAGCAGGAAGTGCGGTCCTCGAGGAGGAGGCCCAGGTGAGCAATTCTTCATAGGGTTGAAGGGTCTAGGGGTTCAGGAATTTAGGGGGCAATTCTTCATAGGGTTTACAAGGGGGTCATCATTGGAATCCAGCCCCAAACCCAGTTGAGGTGCCCTAACAATGTTGTGCTAGGAACCCAACGGAGCTCGCGACTCGGATGCCCCAATCCAGGAATTGCTCAGAGGGTTTAGAGACGACGAAACCCCGTTGTAGGTGCCATCGGCAGGTACCCTTTCCAACAGGACCTGTACACAAATAGCAGTGAAGTGAGACAAGGAAGTGAACTGCGTATTGCTCCCTTGGACCCTGAACGCTGAGCCCTTGTAAGCTCAAAAGGGGAGAAGCTGAGAAGCTCCAAAGAAACACAAGACATCACAAATGTAAGCTCCTCGGGACGTGATGCATCTTCGACTGCATGACTGCCTGCCATGGAGATGTCGGGAAGAGAGGGGCCTCGTACAGTTCTTCTCGAAGGCAGAAACGATGGCATCCCAAATCTTTGTAGGACAAAGAGCTAAGGCTTGAATCATGGGCCCTTAGTATGGCCCCCTTACCCTTGTTTATAGGGATCCGAAGTATGGCCGAAGTATGGCCCCTTATATAGCACATAAAGCGTATACGAGGGTTGAAAAAATAGGGTCCCCGCATTAAGGGCCCATGCCCCGGAGACTTGGTTGACGCCTGCCATCTTGTTTAAGCCTTCAGGGCTTGGGGGGCTATCACGGCTCTTTGCTGCAGCCAGGTGCAACGCGTGCAAGGTTCCCATGGGACCGTACCCTCCGAGGCCACGAAACCCCAAGGCCCTAAACCCTTAACCCTAAACCTTAAACCCTAAGTCTTGAGGCTGACAGATCTTGCGTGGGTTGGATCTTCGCTGGAGGGCATCACCTCAAGTGATTTAAAGTCTTTAACTCGAAGACCCCCTTTTTCTCTTGTGCCCCATTTAGAGGTCATGCGGTTTCGGGTTTTAGGTTTTAGGGTTCAGGGTCAGCGTGCAAAGTATGGGAAAAAGTACCGTGGCGATTGAAGCTCTGCACATGAACCTCAGGAGCGGTTGTTTAACTTGGGCAATCCGATTCACAAGTCGCAAGTCCCGCAGCAAAATAACCTCGTTCCTTCGGCATCGAGCCCGAAGCATTTGTGCGTCGCATTACCCTAAACCCTAAACCCTAACCCTAAACCCTATAAACCCTATAAACCCTATAAACCCTATAAACCCTAAACCCTAAACCCTAAACCCTAAACCCTAAACCCTAAACCCTAAACCCTAAACCCTAAACCCTAAACCCTAAACCCTAAACCCTAAACCCTCGCCTCTGTGCAACCTTTTGTGAGGCCCGGAGCTGCCTCTTCGGTTTGTTACCGCCCGGCCACGGCACCACTTAGAGCTTATACCTGGGACTCTATTTACCTACAGTTTTGTTGTAGCTACCCCCTTCATTAGTAGGTGTAACCCATAAAGCTGTAGGGAAAGAAAGTCTCAGGTAGTGCTTGGCGTTTGTTTTTTGTCCGTGCAACCTAAGCTCGAAAGCCTATCAGATGTGAGCTTGGAAACCCTAAACCCTAAACCCTAAACCCTAAACCCTGAACCCTGAACCATCCGACCAGGTCCGGACTGGCCTGGACCCTGAATGTACATCCACGCAGCCCTGTGGCACGCAGACATCTCTAATGCTCTGTGAGCAAAACAAACGCCTTCTGAAAGCATCAACCCTGTTGAAGAAGTAGAATCAAAAAACAGAGAGAAAAAGGGCAGGCAGTAAGAACGGTATGGAGTTGCACATTCCTAGCTACAGATGCTTCTGGCACCTGATCTCAACCCAAAAACCCTCTGGCAAGGATCCCTAAACCCTAAACCCTAAACCCTAAGCCCTAAACCCTAAACCCTAAACCCTAAACCGCGCCTGCAGCTCGCGGCGGAGTCCTGAGAAGTCCTCTCGGCTGCTCGCCTCAGATGCAGTTTCTTACTTGGGCTCGCCTTGGGGTTTAGGGTTTAGGGTTTAGGGTTTAGGGTTTAGGGTTTAGGGTTTAGGGTTTAGGGTTTAGGGTTTAGGGTTTAGGGTTTAGGGTTTAGGGTTTAGGGCTTAGCGTTTAGGGTTTAGGGTTTAGGGTTTAAACCTCGAAATAAACTAGGAATATAGGCTTGGTAGCCCAGTAACCATATTTTAACAGGGACACCCGTTTTTTGGGGGGGTTGGTTTCTTTACAAGGGAACCTTGCACCGAAAAAGGGCAAAGGGCCCCACTGGGCTTTTGACCGTCAGCGTTGTGAAAGTGGGGGTAACTGGGTTCTAGGCTTGGTAGCAAGGCCCGACACACAACGAACTCACTGACTGACCCGGGCCGACTTTGCCTTTTAACTCTGCACAGTACCCAGCCCCAACCATCACGCGCTAGACCGGACAGCCTCCATAGTTGCGGATCCCTGCTCGAATGAGTTTACCCTGAACCCGGAGCTGGGGGCGTAAACCCTGCACCCCGACCCAACCCTAAATCCCCCGCCAAATTCCCCTAATACCCCCCCAAAAAACCCCTAAATCCCCGAATCCTTCCTAAAGAGCTTTACTTCCCTAATTCCCCGAACCCTTATGCCCTAAAGTATAAACCCTAACCCTAAACTGCTAGTTCCCCCAAACCCCTAAACCCCGCCCCCCTCCCCGAGGGGCACGGGCCTTGCAGCTTGCAAAAGATGCCGTGAGTCCCAGCACCTCCAGGAGACTTGCTGGGGTTCAGGGTTTAGGGTTTATAGGGTTTATAGGGTTTATAGGGTTTATAGGGTTTATAGGGTTTATAGGGTTTATAGGGTTTATAGGGTTTATAGGGTTTAGAGGGTTTAGAGGGTTGAGGGTTTAGGGTTTAGGGGGTTTCGAGGTTTGGGGGGTTTAGGGTTTAGGTTTAGGGCCTTAGGGTTGGTGAACTTACAGGGCGAACATCCCGAATGGTTTAGGATGTAGAGACTTTTTGACGTTTAGGGTCTTGGTTTTGGCGTTTTAGGAGTGAATGTGTTCAGGGTTTTCGGGGCTGACGGGTTTAATACGTGCCGAAGACAGCAGGGGCCGATTGAATGGTCATTCTGAATTCCAGAAAGTTCGCAGGGTTGAGGGTTTAGGGTTGTAATAACACGTAAACCATTTTACGCCCTCCGGCCCGGACGTCTGCGTTGGGCGCGAGGCTGTCGCCACTTTCCTGCACACCAGATTAGGGTCTAGGGTGGCGCCCTCAACCCTAAGCCCTAGATGCGGTTTTGCTGATCCACGAGTTAAGACGAAAAGCCTTGAACCCTGCGCCCAAGCCCAAAATCCCCGCACCCCCTAACTACCCCTCAATAAAGGGGACCTATATACCCTACCATTATGATGAACGGGTAGTTGGGGGGGTGCTGGTGCACCCCAAACTCTCAAAGCTCATCTGATTTGCCGGCTCCCGACTCCTGACGGTGCAGCCGCCACAGCAGCTCAACTGCTGGGGATTCCCCCCTGGCCTTGGAGGGCTTAGGGCTTAGGGTTTGGGGCTATTCGTTTCCATTCGTATTTCTGTATTGCTACTGTTATATGGTTACCAGTGCTATGAGGACTACCACTACGTATTGCCATTACCACTATTCGAGTATTCTGTTATCATTCTCATGTTTGATGTCGCGATTCTAAACCCTAAACCCGAAACCCGAAATCCTGAACCCTAAGCCCTTTTACGGCTAGGACTGCTGCAATGCCTGCCAAACCCTAAGCCCTAAACCCTAAGCCCTAAACTAGCCTACCGCAAGTCGAGAGCGGCTAAGTCTGCCAGCAAAGTGTAGGTGCCTCGTGGCATTCGTCGACAATGAAGAGGGAAAACTCGTCAAAGTGGAAGAAGCCTCTAGGGTTGAGTTTTAGGGCTTCGGGTTTAGGTTTTAGAGTTTCGGATATAGGCGAGAGGTCGTACTTGATGCGAATTCCTGCCTTTGCACATCCGTGTCTCAGCGTTCGCCAGCCGGCATTGTTGAAATTTACCTCTTAGTCGACAGCGTCGCTGTTTAACTTGCAAACAAGTGCCCTGCCGGAGGCATGCCTGCTGAGGCACCGGCCATGGTCGATGAATGCTTTGGTGAAGGTCTCTACAGTTCCCACCAAGACCTGTGAAGGAAGGACAGAATGAAGAGTCTTTCGCCGCGTGCAAGCGGCCCCTCTATGGTCCAGAGGAATGCTAGGACAACGGGGCAAGGCACAACCTTGGTTATCATGCACCCAAAGGCTTCAAACCTAATCCTTACCACACGCCCGGAATGCGATTACTAGAAGGAAGGGCCTCCGGTGCTGGGCACAGCGAGGGCCCCCAGCCCTCATGAACCGTAAAACCCCGAAAAAGCCCATTCTGCTCTCCTTGAGGCCCCTGCCCCACAGGTAGAGCTGAGCCCTGAAACATTAACACCCTGTTTAGGGTTTAGGGTTTAGGGTTTAGGGTTTAGGGTTTAGGGTTTAGGGTTTGGGGTTTAGGGTTTAGGGTTTGGGGTTTAGGGTTTGGGGCTTAGCCCTACAGGACAATGTGCTGGTGCCATTCTCCCCGAAAATTTTTCGTATGACAGCACCCAGAGCCAAAAACCCACATCTCTGAGATCAGGCATCTCATCAGGGAGTTAGGGTAGTTTAGTTTTGTTGGCTCAGGGTTCGAGTTTAGGGAAGCCTAACTATGGCCCTCGTTTTGGTTCCGATCTCGACACAGGACCTGAAAACTAGGCGCAACTAGAGTGTGCAGAAAGCGATCATACTTCCTGGAACACTACCCATGTAGGTTCCGTCAAGCCTGAACCCCCTTTTTTGCGACTGGACTGCGAGCGACTGCCAGGAAAAAAAGACTCGACACGACTCCCACTCAGCTTCGGCGAAGACCCTGTACGTTGGCGAGCCTGACACCCCCTTATAAACATTAAACCCTAAACCCTAAAGCCTAAAGTTTAAAGCCTAAACCCTAAAGCCTAAAGTTTAAAGCCTAAACCCTAAAGCCCACATCCAGCGTCAGAGCGCCTTGGCGCGCAACACGCTGGCGTATTCCTTCGGGCCCCAACCAGAAGTGGTGAAGCCGGTGAATTCCACGCACTCCTCAACACCATGTCAGTTTAGGGTGCAGGGTTCGGGGTTTATAAGGGTTTAGGGTGGTGGGTTTGGGTTGGGGGGCCTCATACAGGAGCCAGGAGCCTCGAAACTCAGACGAGAGGGACTTTTGAGGAGATGTCAGGAAGAAAACGGGTAGGAAAATTATCGAAAACTAATTCTTCAGGGGGATCACAAATGGAATGATGTAATTACTGCTTTTGCAGGAGTTGAGCTGCGGGGGCTTCTGTCTGCGATAAAAGTTGCATCCCTTCACCTCTACGCAGCCCCCGGTATCGTCCCCTGCGACAGAAATGGGTGCAGATGCATTCCCCAGCCTGTCTCTCTCATCTAAAGACACCACACCATCGTTCCGAAATGTGTGGGTGAACAAAGGAAGCCGAGGCACCAAACCCTAAACCCCAGCCCTAAAACCCTAAACCCTTAGTTCCTTCAGGCTCAGCACGACACTGTCAGTGTTTCCAAGAATGCGGGATCCTCTCCCCTGAAGCCCTCAAGGCCTTAAGGCCTCAACCCTAAACCCTAAAACCTTGAAAGGAACCTAGGGCGTCATGGCACCGAGACTGGGTGAATCTCAAGGTTCCCCCTAAGTGGCCTACCCGAAGATCAAAGATGCTCGTGAAGACTGCCTTAAAGAACCCTCAGCCTTCTTGGTTTACGGTTTACGGCTTTTTGTGGGTTATCTTTAATGAAGCCGCCTATAGAATTCTCACGTGACCTAGAAGCGAAAGGTCCTTTGGGGGCGTAAGGCTGTGCATCGGCCAAGCATCCCAAGTCTCGGCTCCCTCATGCTTCGCCAGGGTTGCGTTTACGCGCATCCTAAGAAAAGAGGTTTAGGGTTTACGTGGTTTAGGGTTTAGGGTTTGGGGTTTATGTGGTTTAGGGGGTCTCAAATTCACGTTTGCGTGGGCCGTGTCTGACAATCTATATACTCACTTTGCTGAGAGGACAGGGTTCACTTTTATCCCCAAGGTTAGGGATCGCAAATTCACGTTTGAGTGGGCCATGTCTGACAATCTATATTCACATTGCTGAGAGGACTTTAGGTCTCGGCAATCTGCATCTTGCCTGAGTTTTGGGCGCACTAGCTACTTGGAGCTACGCGCTTCTTATATCTGTGGCCATAAGTCGGGAAGTAGATTACTTGGCAAAAACTGGCTATGTCCTTCGTAAGGGTACTTGCAACCCTGTTCATAAGCAGCCATGAACCCTGCAGTCGGTCCAGTGACAAAGAGTATACCTCCAAAAGCGTGCTCTGCTGTCGGGATTTGCATGTCTCCCAAAGGGGTTTTAAGGTTTTCGGCTTTGGGGTTTCGGGGCTTCAGCTCTTACCCCTCAAAGCACTGAACAACCATCCAAGCCCGCAGCCACTGCTGATGCGCCAGCAATCGCGAAGCGGTCCTGAGGCGGAATGGAGGATGAAGATAGTGGTCACCTACATGTTGGTGTGGCTCCAGCATGTGGGCGACTGATGGCAGCCAGTTGTGGGTTTAGGGTTTAGGGTTGAGGGTTTAGGGCTTAGGGGTTTGATCTGAGATGCCTGTGCATTCATGGTTCTAAGAAGGCGCGGCCGTGACTTCGCTCGTGGACAGTTAGCAAAGAGGCCCGAAGGCCTAACCCCAAACTACACCCTAAACCCTAAACCCCTACACCCTAAACCCTAAACCCGGAAACCCTAAAGCCTATAAACTCAACCAAGGAATTCCGAGGCCCCCGACACCATGAAGGCGATTCGCTTGTCAGGATGGCGCCTCTGTTCAATCCGCTGCCCCCCCCCCCCCCCCCACCTACTTTTTGCATCAGGACTTGCGCAATCGCCTGAAAGTTTGAGCACACGGATACTCGGTGACTGCGCTTCCACGCCCTAAACCCTGAACCCTAAACCCTGAACCCTGAACCCTAAACCCTAAACCCTAAACCCTAAGCCCTAAACCCGAAACCCAACCTTAAACCCTAACCCCACCCCCCCTCTCCCCTCCCCTGCCGACTGGGATCGTAGTTGTACGGTTTTGGGGGGGCGGGTGTTCCCCAACTGCTTTCCCTAAACCCTGAACCCTGAACCCTAAATCCTAAACCCCTAAACCGGTTAGATCCTTCTTGGGGGATTGCGGCTGCAGGCCCAAAGGGTCCGTAGGTACCTCGACAGGCACAGGGGGTTGAGGGTTTAGCGTTTAAGGTTCCCACCCTAAACCCTAAAGACCCTAAACCCTAAACCCTAAACCCCTAAGCCCTAAGCCATCTAAGCCCTAAACCCTAAACCCCAAAACCCTAAACCCTAAACCCCAAACCCCAAGCCCGCTGGGTCAACGTCGGAAGCCGCCTGATCGCATCGAGGATGGCCAGCTCGGCCACCAGGGTCTTCCCAGCGCCTGCCGGCAGCTCCCGGGTTTACATAGGGTTTAGGGTTTAGGTTTAGGGTTTAGGGTTTAGGGTTTAGGGTCTAGGGTCTTTAGGGTTTAGGGTTTAGGGTTGAGGGTTTAGGGTCTATAGGGTTTAGGGTTTAAGGTCTAATTATAGGATTTAGGGTTTAGGGTTTTTTTGCCACCCGACTAGCTGATGCATCACATCGCACTGCTGGGGAGATCCTCGTGTTTAGGGTTTAGGGTTTAGGGTAATCCTTTTGCATCGGAGCTTTTCGGGTACCGCCCGGCTCAGGCGAAACTACCTGAGCTTAGGACCCTAAACCCTAAACCCTACATTCTAAACCCTAAACCCTCCTGAACCCTCCTAAGCCCTAGATTCTAAACCCCAAACCCTCCTAAACCCTCCTAAACCCTCCTAAACCCTGCTAAACCCTCCTAAACCCTCCTAAACCCTCCTAAACCCTCCTGAACCCTCCAAGAAGCAGTTGGTATCTGGAAGTGCTGCGTCCTACTGGAGTATGTTCACCAGGGCTGAAGGCGCCCCACCACCTTGAAGGCCTTTCTGCACTCACCTTTTACAACAGGGGTTCAGGGTTCATGGTGCCATTCTACTGGTGTAGGTTGGGGGGGGGGGGGCCTTTTCAACATGTACTTTTCATGGCTTTATCAGATATTCCGTAGGGGCTCTCTCGTCGTCGAAGGCATCTGATCCCAATTTGGGGGGGGGGGTTGCTTGGCTTTCTTATAAGGGGTACAAGGCGGGACCCCACCCTTTAGTCGCTTTTTCTGACTGGGAAGAAGGCCCGGAACCCTAAACCCCAAGAAGCCCTTCAGTCAGAATATGAGGCTCGCCTGTCTCCGCGCTGACGATGAGGTTCTCATGCGCCGCGCGGGCAGCAGCTTCCCGCTGCCAGTCGTGAGGCGTCAGCGTCATGAGCGGCGACACGGGGGCTCGAAAGTCACCCCAGAAAGCTTCGACAGGCTAGGGGCTTAATTATGGTTGAGGGTTGAGGGTTGAGGGTTGAGGGCTCGCTGATCGATTCATTTTCCCACTTGTCGGTTCTCTCTTCTAGCCTTTATCGTTCTTGTTCTTTCATGCCTCGTGCCGTCCCGGGATCCTAAGTAGCCCAATAGAGCCATAAACCCTCTTTGGACGCGGGCTCTACAACATAAAAGCCCACCCAAGGTTGAGTCCTCAAGGAGCGAGCTTTGGGTGGCATTTCAAAAACTTCACCCTGACTTCTACAAGCCCAAAAGCGGCACACCAAGAAGGATCTCCCGCGGCGGCGGCACTGTTGGCACTCTTGGCACAAGACGCAACCCCCCCCCGTCCCCCTAATCAGTTTGTGGATGTGGCTTTGCTCATTGTCTGAAGCGGGCGCTTGGCAGTTCGGCCAATTCCGAAGTCAATGCGCAAGTCGGGAGGCCAGGCACGTCGACCACAGCAAAATCTGCCATTTGCCAGGAATTCTTCCAAACGAAAATAGCATCCTTCCTGAACGCCGATAATCCTATAAACCTGAAGTTCCTAAACCCTAAAACCCTTCCTGACTTGTCAGTCCGCAAAGTCCGCTCTTGAAGAGCTGAAGCCCGCGACTGGCAAATGATTGACTGTACATGAGCTGCGAGACGCGCCGCACCCTTCGACTCAAGACTGCCCTTGGCTGCACTCAGGAGGGTAGCTATAAATTAAGCTTTTGGCTGCCTAATAAGAAACCCAATAAACCCAAAGGAGAGGTAAGGATCTAAAGTTACAGTAAAGTACCACAAAGTGCCCTAGTTACACCAAACAAGCTTTCAAATGAGGACAAAGCCACGTGAGCTATGGAGGAGCTCAGCCGTGGTCCTGGCCAGTCCTTGCGAGAAGAAGCATCATAGGGAAGCTGGAAAAAGGGCTCGCCTCACCTTGTCCAGGTCGTGTAGAGCGACAGCCACCTCACGGCGGTCACCATCATCTCCGAAGACGGCTCGCACCATGTCGAGGGCCTCGGTGAGACGCTGCTCCGCTGCCGGCAGGTCCCCCTTCTGCTTCAACTTCGCGCCCAGCTCGTGCAGAGTGACAGCCTTTAGGGATTTTTGTCACCCTCCAGGGTTTAGGTTTAGGGTTTAGGGCGTAGGGTTTAGGGTGGAGGGTGTATGGGCTTAGGCCATAGGGCCACACAGCTTTCCAAGGATAGAAGGGATCATCTTTGGTTGTGAAAAGGACATGCTACCCCAACAAGGTCACAGCACGACTCGTGCAGAGCGTGTCCCGGGCCCAAAAAAAATTATTAAAGGTTACCTACTGCACTTGAAGGTTCATGGGTAGTTAAGCCCTAACCCTAGGTATGGTTATAACTGCTGTCAAAAAGGGGTTATACCCAAGGTCACCTATTCAGCACCCGAGGGGCAGAAAAGCCCTGAGAGGTCCAGTGCTTTCAGCATCAAAGCATCACTGAACTGTGGGTCGGCGGCCTCATTTGGGGGGCTTCTAGGGATTAACATTTTAAAGGTCAAGGCATAAAACTCTGCATTGTCGTTCCCGGGAAAGTCATCTACATCCTAGGACTAACACCACCTTTCTTGCGAAGATTTGCCTCGGTTCTGGGAGAATGTGCCTGGCTTTGGCGACAGTTCTTAGACCCAGCAAACTTCAATATACAGGCACTGCCAAAATCCTCATTGCATGCGAGCGAAGCGCCCTTGTTGTGTTCAGTGGAGCTCCGGGGGCATGAGTGGCGACAGTGGACATTCAAGGGTCTTGACCTCAAGTGGATCCACGCGATGCCCCTGGCTCCGTTCCGGAAGTGGACAAGACATGTGCTCAAGAGACACGGTTACCGGGTTCGACGGCTTTTTGGCCTGGACCTCACTAATGCACGAAGCTTTCGGAGGTGAAATCCATGAAGCTGCTTCTCGAACTGGTGTGACGACTCGGGACATGTTTTTCGCGCCTGGGCAGATCGAGCCTGCGGCTCCTAAACTTACAGAAGCACGCATTCGCAGGAAGCGCCCGTTGCGAGAGCATATTCTCAGGAGCACCGAGATGGATAGCGCCATTCAGGAAGCATGCGGCGTCGAGTCTTTACGTAGACTGCGCATGGGGTTCTCACCCCAATCCAGCGCAGAAGCACCGCATTCTCGAAGTGCCGTGATGAGGTAGTTTTTCGTGTTGCCAGAGCGGTGAGTCAAACCCTAAACCCTAAACCCTAAACCCTAAACCCTAAACCCTGCTAAACCCTAAACCCTAACCCCTAACGCCTAAACCCTAAACCCTAAACCCTAAACCCTAAATCCTAAACCCTAAACCCTAAACCCTAAACCCTAAAGAGCCGTTTGGGGGTTTCATGAGATGCTGCGGATCAGCAGTTCACATCCGTGATGTGCTAGGGCCGATCAGGAAGCAGGTGGAGCTACTTTAGGGGATAGGATTAGGGGGACCCTTGGGGATATAGACCCTGTGAATAAGGTCCCTGTTTCAGAGCACCAGAAGAGGGTTAAGAAGGGGTTCCCCTTTAAGGGTCCCCCTTATCCTACCTAGGATACTTGCCGTGCACCACACGAAGAAAAGGGTTTTGGAAGCCATGATACGCTTAAAAAAAAAGGGACCCCAAAATTGTAAAAGGGACCCAGTTTTTAAACAACGACTCATATCTGTGGCTTCCAGCATGTGGGCGACTGATGGCAGCCAGTTGTGGGTTTGTGCAGGTCCTTGCCCGCCGGCGCATGTGTGATCTGAGATGCCTGGGGGCGCGGCCGTGAGGTCGCTCATGGACAGTTTAGCAAAGAGGCCCGAAAGCCTAACCCTAAACCCTAAACCCTAAACCCAAACCCTAAACCCTAATTAAACGATATCCTACATAGAATGGAAGAAGGAAAGAGCACCAAAGTACATCCTAGCTTGTGGGCCTTATAGACCACCTGAAATGAAACCTGCATGCGGCAGAGCTGCACGCAGTGACGCAGAGGCTACAGATGCACATGTCCATGTCCATGACCTCCTCGCCTGAGGAAGCTCAGTGCGGGGCCTTGTGGTTTAAGGCTTTGGGTTGCCGACTCTTTGCAGACTTCCAAAGGCAGTGCTGGCAAAAAAAGGGCATGATGGATGGGCTGCCCCTGCAGAGCCCGTTAAGCTGCCATTCGACCTGCAGATTCCGGCCTCGCAGCGCAGCCGCCCAGGCTGCACCTTGGCTGAGGGGGTCGGGGGAAGGTGAAGAAGAACCGCAAGCAAGCCGAAGCCTCAGCAGCTGCCTTTTTGGTGCTAAAACGCCTGGCTTGTATAGAGTCTGTCTCGAGGGCCGTGTCTTAGCACGCCGATAAAGCCGTGTCGGCCGATCTCTACCAGGTGTCAATGGGAGAGCAAGCGGGTCAGTGGCTTCGAGTCACTGTTGCGAAGCTGCAGGAGGACGGCGGCCGCCAGTGCGACTATGTCGAGCATGGCAATCAGGAGGAAGGACGTCCGGAAGCAGCCAGCACCCACACAGATTGCCTTGCCTCCGGCCGCCCCCTCGTAGAAAGCCGGGAGCAACAGGAAGCTAATCATGGAAGACAAAGATTGGCTGGCCATCTGCGTGAGCCAAATCTTCCCGAAAGCAAGGCTGCCATACATCTCGTTGATCAGCGGGACCACTATCACAAAGAAGCATCCAATCGAGACGCCTAGCAGCAGCGCCCCAACCATGATACTGTGGATGTCCATGAAGCTCATCCACAAAAAGCCCAGGGCACCGCAGGCCACTGTGAAGATGAGCCAGTGCAAGCGGGTGAGGTACTTGCTGTACTTGTCGCTCAAGATGCCGACGAGAACACGGGACAACGCCGAGGTGAGCGAGAAGAGCGCCACGCCAAGGCTAGCAGCACTGGAGTGGCCTGCGCTCTCCACGATCAGGGCCATGTTCTGAATGACGGATAGGGCCCCCCCGAAAAGTGCGAACTGAATCAGGCTCAGTAGCCAGAAATCCAGGCCCTGAGCTGCCACAAGAAAAGGCACTCCACGCACCTCACGCTTCGGCGAACTGACTTCTTCTTTGAGAGCCTGGAGCTCTTCCGAGCTTGGAGACCCACGGACAGTCAACAAGATGGCCAGGGGAGCCATCTGCAGCGCTATGCCAGAGTAGCCCACTGCCCGTGAAGGTTCTAAACTTCCTTCTGATAGAAAAAAGCTGACGATCACATTGTAGACGGCAAGTGCGGCGAGCAGAGTGCCGAGAACAATGAGGCGGCTGTGGTCCTGGCAGTCGAACGCTTGCCGCGGCTCTCCGCGAGGAAGCACCTTGATTCCTGGCAGCGTGAGGAGGCCAATGCCAAAGGAGGACATGGCCAGGCATGCGAGATAGCTGGGCAGACCTGGCCCCTTGGGCTTGTCGAAGATGTGGTCCCAGACAAGTGGCCAGAGCCCATTCGTAGTGGAAACGGCTGCTTTGGCACACCCCACCACGGCTCCACGGTTGTGCGGGAAGGATTCCGAACATGCCATGCACACAGTGTTGTCCAGGAGGCACTCGCTGCTATATCCGGCCAGAAGAGAGCCCAGCGCAGCAAGGGCAACTGTCAGTGTCGGGGACAGGACACCTCCCGCAACAGTCGTCAAGCCTATCAGGGAGTAGCCGACGGCCATGAGACAGCTGCCCAACACCACCGATGCTCTCGGGCCCATGGTATCGTAGATGGCGCCCCCCGCCGGGCTGGCGATCATGCCCATGACTGCTGCAGCTCCGATCCTATACTTCCCTTAGAACCTTAATAATAGCAATGATATCTTAATCTACTCTTGGGTTTTATATATATACATATATACAAAAAAGCCATTCCCAAGAAGGATAGAGAATCAAGGTCAAGCTGTGCATGGAGATGCCCAGGACATCGCGGAGCTCATCTTGCCAGGCGCCGAAGGCGTAGATGGAGCCTGACAAGACCTGCACGAGGCAGCCCATCACAATCAGCCACCATCTTTCCTTAGTTGTCCAGTACCTAGGTTTAGGGTTTAGGGTTTAGGGTTTGGGGTTTGGGGTTTAGGGTTTGGGGTTTGGGGTTTAGGGTTTATAAGGTTAACCTTTGGGGTTTTAAGGGGATTCTATTACCCCCAAAAACCAAAAAAGGTCAAAGGTTTACCTACTCTACGACGAAGTTTCTGAAGTGAAACTCCCGGCGAGGTCATGAGCCACCTTCACATGCTCGAGTCGATACATGAGGTAGGCGCCCACAATGGAAAATAGGACTGCCAAGCTGGCAAAGAGACCAGGTGACAAGACCACACGCTTGGCCAAGGCATGTCGGAAGCTGCGGCTGTAGCCTTACTTCTCCAATAACCCAAGGGGAAAAAAAGGTTAAGCTTGAATCTTCCTATTGAAGAAGGAAACCCAAAAAGTTTATAAAGTTCAACTATTGGCTGAGCAAGTAGCTCAACTCCTCAGCTTCCGCCTTCAGCTCAAGAGGCGCCGATGACGTGCGGTTCGTGCGATTGACCCTGAAAGCGGCAGTCTGCATAAGGTGACTGGCCGGCTGCAAAGTTGCATTGGCAGTGCACTCCTGCATGCTGCAATCTCCCTCACCGTAAAGGGCCGGTGCCGTGGATAGGAGCGGCACCAACGCCAGGAAGAACGCCAGAGACGCCATCACGGCTTCGTCTCAAAACGATGTTAACCCGAAGCGTTGCCCGGGAACGTTAGCTGATGAATTTCAGTACCAAACAGCTTCGGCAAGATGAATCCTGTCGAGAGAAGGGTTACTACCAATTGCTTAAGAACCCCCAAAAACAAAAATATTCTTCCTTCTTAAGGCTAATACAGGGATTATCATTCATTATTCTTTTGGGGTTCTTAGGCAAGTAGTAGGTTACGGTTTCAAAAAGCTACGAAGGCTTCGCCAATGGATTCTTCTAGGAGTGTCGAGCAGGCAGGGCTTCTGACCTTCTTGGCTTGAGGTGCCTGCTGATAAGAACCCTAAACCCTAAACCCTAAACCCTAAATCCTAAACCCTTAACCCTAAACCCTAAACCCTAAACCCTAAACCCTAACTATACCCTAACAAACCTTCAGGTACCTGCCAGGCCCTCTAAGCCACCAGCTTGCCGTGAAGGCCCGCAGACAGGCGCTGAGCGTGGTAAGGTCGGCCTCCAAGGTTTAGGGTTGAGGGTTTAGGGTTTAGGATTTAGGGCTTAGGGTTTATACAAATTGTATAGGGTTTGGGTCCCAATAACGTTTTGAGAGCAAGTTTTGGGCGAAAGTGTTTTCTTGATATTTTTTGCCACCCGTCTAGCAAAGCTCCACGGGGCAACTGAAGAGGGAATTCTGTGTACAACCTTCAGAGCCCAAATTGACGAAATCACTAGGTCCCACACCAGCCCGAGACCTCCTACTCGAGAGAAAGCACAGGCCTAGGACCCCGCATTAGGTTTAGGACCTCGCATTAAGAAGCAATACAAACCCATACGTCCATAGGAGGGCTACGGTTGGTGTTAGGTTTTAGGGGTTGGCGTGGGGGGAGGGGGATTTGATAATAAAAAAACTAACTTTTGTTAGTTTTAACTATTTTCTGTAAATTTATATAAATTTAAATAATTCTGTAGAATTTTAGTTCATTTGAGACAACTTTCATGTTTTTTATATGAATTTTAGGGAGTTTTTGACTTTAAGTTGAAAATTAAATATTTTGAGAATTCATTTTCCTTAATTTTGAAATTACTTGTAATCAATTGTAGACAATTAGACTGAATTCGAATTAGCTATTAATTACTGACTCAATGAATTCATTGTATTGTATTTTGATTCGTTTTCTTTAAGTTTAGTTCATTGAATTGATTTTTTTATTAATTCTTATTAGTTCCAAAAAATAAATGGCCCAACAAGAGAAAGAGGAAATCACATGGTGAACCTCTCTTCTTACCCGCCTCTTTTGACAGGCTCTGAAAACCCCATAAACCACAAGGGTCCAAACTTGAGGCTTGAACAAAAACTGCGAAGGTGGGAGGAATAGGGAGGACAGCAACTTGTCCTTGCGGTTCCAAGCGAGCTGCCTGCAGCGCAAGCCATGCTGACACATCACCGCCAAATACCCTAAACCCTAAAACCCTAAAACAAACCCTAAACCCTAAACCCTATAAACAACAACAGAACAACAAACAGCCGACACATTCGTGGCGCAGGTGTTGGATGCGGAAGAGGGCGGCCGCGAGCTCAAGATCTTCGCTCAGATGCTGCCCGCTGGGGTGGTCTACAGGGATGTCTATGTCCTTTCTGCATGAGGATATGGGTTTGTTGAGGTTTGGAGGCTTTTTTCCAGCTTTTGCAACTGAGGCTTTGAAGAGTCGTGTGACTTGGGGCTCATATGCAGCCCAAGTGTAAGTAGCACCCCAGAGAGGAGGAAAAAGAGGAGGAGAAGAGGAGGAAGAGGAGGAGCAAAAAGGAGGAGCAAAAGGAGTAACAAAAATCTAGAGTAAGTAGAGCACCCCAAACGAGAGAAGAACACAAGGCCCCCCCTGCCTCTGGGGCGCCGTCGCTGACCTCCGCGGTGTCGGCCCCGAGCAGCAGCCCCTCCTTTTAGGGTTTAGGGTTTAGGGTTTCGAGGTTTTTTTTCCCCTCCTGCACAGCTGGGTTTAGGGTTTAGGGTTTTAGGGTTCGAGCAGGGGTGAGGATGGTCAGGATTATGTTGAGGGTGCAAGGTGGCTTTTGGGGCGCGGACAAGATATGAAGAAGCTGTCTTAAGGTCTAGTTCTAGGTCGCTGTAGCTACGACTTCAACTTTCAGAGCTGTTCTTGGCAGGTTCGTACTGCTCCTTCGCCAGAGCGTGGTATCTCACGTGCGACGTTCAGCTCCTTTGGTTCGTCCACGACGGCCTCCAAGGCAACTGCCCATTGCTGAATCGGAATTAAGGGGAGGGTTTAGGGCCTAATAGCCCGTCCTGGGAGTAGGGACAGCAGACCATGGTGGCTCTGGAATGCTGCGCAGGCTGTGGGTAGAGCGGAATTGGAGTCGACAAGTTTTCAAGATGCTGCAAGCCGGCATAAAGCCATAAGCCTAGGCCCATTTTCGGCCCAGTGTCCCTCGGCCGTCTGCGAGACTCTTCCTTCCGAAGCTTGGGGCAGTCCTGCAGCCAAAGACCTACAAAACTTCCCTACGCTCTCAGCCCGGCCGGCTGTCAGAGTCCGTAGCTCGTCTTGCAAGCGCCGGAAACCCCACATGTACTTGCTTTTGGGGCTACAGTTGTCGTATGGTTGGTGTGCGTCAAAAACACTGGTGTTTTTTCCACACGGTCCCCGATATATTTGGCAGCACCCCAAAAGGAATATCTGAATATGATATGGTCACTTCTCGACATGATGATCCCTTTTGAGGTTTCTATTTTAAGGCGGCCCCTAATGTTTAGGGTACTCAGAAAGGGACTCTAATTTAGGAGATCTCACCATCGCGAGCCTGGGGCTTAGCAGGGCTTTCGAGTCCTTCTTCAGGGTTTTTTTGGCTTTTAGAGTTTCGGGTTTATGGGTTCCACCCTAGTGATTTCAAGATATTTCAAGCATGCGAAGGGGCCGGTGGCTTTGGGGTAAAGGCTTAGTTTAGCGACAGCCAACGCAAAGCCATTGCTGAGAAATGCACAACTCAACCCCTTGTCAACCCGTTCTGCGCTGACGCTCTCCGAGCAGCCGCGAGCAAACCACAAGAGCAAGCAACATGTGCTAACAACCGGTTGGCAAACAATCAAGAGCGAGACTCTGAACTTTCAGCTGGATGAATGCCCGACCCTCAACCCCTCAACCCCTAAACCCTAAACACGCACACACACACACACACACCCAAGATGCGATCTCAGTGTCGGAGACGAGGACATGGGCTTTTCATGTTTGGTGGCCTCTCTAAATGGCTTCATGCTACCAAGAGAAAGTCACGAGACAAGAGCCTCCTGGGCAATTGAGTACTGCGACTAGCAGCGGCGCTTGAGATGACTTATGTTCTGCGTCACGTAGCGCTCAAAAAGGGGCCACAACGGGTTCCAAGACATTTGCGGCGCCGGTGCCTGGATGTTGAAGAGGGCGGCCGCGAGCCCTCAAGATCCTCGCTGAGCTCCTCGCTGGGGTTTGTTCGGGGCGCTTTCTGGGCCTCTTCCAGGGCCTCTTCCAGGACCTCTTCCAGGTTTAGGGTTGGGGGTTTAGGGCTTAGGGTTTCAGAAGGTTATAGGGATGGTTGAGGTTTGTGAGGCTGGCTTGATTGAGGCTTTTTTCTTGGGAGTCGTATGACTGGGCCTCATATGAGGCCCAGGTAGCTTTTCGCGCCCCCCCCCAAACCCCATAAACCCTAAACCTAAACAATCTCTTTCACATGTATATTTAAACCTTAATGGGGGTACTGTCATGGAGCGGCCCAAGAGCGCAAAAAGAGACACGGTCACCGGTGAACTTGCAGCGGCAGGAGCTGCCAGTACGAACAAATTCCAGAATGTAAGCAATCAGCACCCCATCAAGCATCAACAACATCCAGAAAGTAGGCAACCAGCACCCCATCAAGCACCAAAAATCCACGAATACGAGCAGAGAGAACGAATGCGATCAGAATGAATACGAGCAGAGAGAGAATAATACGAGCGGGACGAAAACGAGCAGAAAGAAAAGAAACGAGCAGAATGAAAGACCAGCAGAGAGAGAGAGAGGGAGAGAGAGAGAGAGAGGGAGTGAGAAAGAGACAAAGAGCAGAATGAATACGAGCAGAGAAA